TGATTTGAGGATGATTAGAGACTGAATTGGATGACATGCCGTTCTGCCAATTAATCATAACCATTATCCTTGTGATTAATTGGCAGAACAGCATGTCATCCAATTCAGTCTCTAATCATCCTCAAATCACAGTTTCTGAAATAAACAAATATATTGTACATTTGGGAAAATATCTCTGTTGGAGACAATGTCTAAAGTAAAAATTCCTCCACTTAGGAAGTTCCCCAGTTTTTTTAAGGATGAGTGGTTGTTGCTATCAATGGTTATTGTGATCAAATCTGTGATACATGGCCTGTTGACTTCATCACTTGACAAAGACTAGCAAAAAGCTGTCAAGCTGTTGCAGTCTACATACTGAGTATCTGTGTGACGAAATACATAATTTGTTTGTCAATTAAGAAATCTTCAACATAATGATTGTACCTTTTGTTAAAAATGCATTTTGTATTCTTTAACACAAGGACTCAGTTTACTTTCCTTTAAGTAGGAATAAAATATCATATTTTTTACTAAATCAAATTTCATTGTTTTTATTTACCTAGCTTCCACCCTTAAAACATACAAATAACATAGATATAATAAAATAATATGATATTTATTAGCGCCTGTGAAACTCACTAACAGCATCATGCTGTCACATCAAAGCATATCAAGATGCGGCCAACCAACCTCCAAAGTGAGCGTGCATGTAAAGATGAAACAATTTTAGTGTAATAGAAAAGTCCGAGCCCCAGATGGGACTTGAACCCACGACCCTCCGTGATCTAGTCGGATGCTCTAACCACTGAGCTACTGGAGACTCTAGGGTGAGCAAGGGTCAATTTGTGGGCCTCGACTGGAACCGCATCGCGCATGATATGATGATACTTATATTAGTACCCTGTAGTCTGAATAGTGTACCACGTGATACATGACGAGATGACGAAACTCACAGCGAAGACCAATCTTTTAATTTCATCTCCCCATCTCCTCAACTACATGTATAGGACCTACTAACCTGATTCGGGCTGCATAATTGATCTCTTTTTCTTGTGAGTGACAGCAATATGTGAGCGAGACAGCACTGGACTACTGTGACCTGTTTCGTGGGTACAAAAATTGTAGTATTTTGTGTCAAAGCAACTTTATTTCACACCTCCACACTCTCTAAACTAATCCTATTCTTCCTCATCTTGCTTTCTTTAATTCAGCTGCAATAAGGTTTGAGATATTCAGCCAAAACAGGAAGCACGAGGAAAAAGATGTAAAAATTTTGATGCAAAATGTAATGCAAGAGTTTAGCTTAATTCTCATTTTTCCGGGTGATTTCGATTCTTATCCTTATTCTTTTATAACATCATCAAAAGTGACCCGTTTAAAAGTATTGAAGAGATGATGATATACCTGAAGAAATTCCTCACTTTTTTTCAGCTCAATAAATGTAATTGGTACAAGTTGGCAGTTTAAATTGAGAGTGATTCACTCACCATATGGGTCTCCCCCAACGGTATCGTAGTATACATTGCGATGTCTCGCTGCTAGGTTAAGTTGTTCTGAGGAAAAGATTCAGTTAAAAGATATCAAATCGTAAAGATAAGAAGTGCAAGAAAAAAGTTATTGCATGGCGATAGCAAAAATGTTGATGTACCAATAGTGTATCTCTTGTCGTCATTTGGATGTCTTCCTCCAGTGATTTGCTCCTCAAAGAAAGCTGAAGGGAGTGGATTTCCGATCGTCTGACCTTAAAAAAAGAATAAACATGCTCCATGGCATTTGGATATTTCAGTTGTCCTGCTTTACATGATTTAAACCGGTAATTGCAATTAAGCTCGACCCATTTTCGTTTAATTTCCTGGCCAGACGAACATAAAATGGTCAAACGGCACACAATAAACGTACTACCCTCTTCCCACAATTACTTTCATGGGAAGTTCGACGACTCTTCTCATCTTTAGGTACACTGGTATGCGAAATACCTACCAATATTTGCAGGGTCTGCTATTCCACTTTTTTTTAATTCATTCATTCCATTTTGACCGGCGTACGGTATTTCCAAACCTGAAGAAAATGGCTGTTTATGATCCCATAGCTTTTCAAAAGATGGCACGGTAATTAGATTAATAGAATGAAACGCACTTGAAATGGTACCATATCCTGCCCAATATTAAAATAAATCTAACCAAGGGGAAGTAAGTTTGAAGTTACCCCTCACTGAAGTGAATGTATAAAAGAATCAAAATAGTATAAATTCTCGAGATTTTCTATTTTCATCTTAGCTTCGTCCAGTGACTGCATTTTTTTCTGGTATTTCTTCCCTTCTTACCTTTGCAAAAGGCAACAGCTCCACACAATATGCTGATAATGGGTATAAAAATCCCCATTTTGGCGTACCTATTTGTATTGGAATAGTAAAAAGTAGAGTTAATATTTGAGGTCAAAAGTCATTCCTTTGGCTGGCCCTCCCTTATTGCTCTCCCTTGACTTAGTCGTCCATCTTTATTGGTTTTCTTTGTTCACTGCTGCTTAATTGCTCTACGGAATCATCTTTCCTCAATAGTTTACCATAAAATCTCTACAAAACATATGAAAACCGAACGATCATTTTTTGGGAGGTATGTTAATTAATGAATTGCGAAAAATATTTCCATGAAAGCTATAATAGCTTTAGTAACCAGATAAGCCCCATAATGGTTTCTCCGAGTTGCTCATCTGTCCAATGTGCGAATCTGCCTCTTCGTAATCAGTCCTGTCGGTAAGTTAATAGCTAAAAAATCCAACAAATACTCCCATGAATTTTTTAACATCCTTGACAATCTAACACACAGCATTCAATTTAGAAGAAACTTCCGGTAATCATACACCGATGCTTGCCTTCCTCTATAAATTTATTGTCGTTTCAGCGACATTTTTCAGAGTTTAAGGCAATATAATGGTCCTTCATTTACTTTGATATTTTCTTACGATGGTTTTCTTTGCATAACAGAGCAGCACCAGACACACAGGTAGTTTGTTGATTATGTAGTCACTGGTAGAAACTAAGGTCTGCAAACATAGGTGAATTGACCAGTTCAGGAGCTTTAAATGTGGCTCGATCAGTTCGATCTCCTCCAGGCTGTTTTGCATGTACTTATTTATCTCATGGATCAAAACTTAAAGGTCAATCTATGATAAGCAGGCTCACTGTGGAAAGTGTATCTCACCTTATGATATTTGAACAAATCTGTTGGTATGGTTCAATTTGATCATTCACCAAACACATTTCATTTCGAGATGGTACTTAAGAATATAGATATCATATCGTGATAAGTATTCTCTCTTCAAACAGACCGGCTCCTCCAATTGATGTACCTTGTACTCAACAAATAACTCAAAGAAATGTATCGCTACTCATAGATTCAGTCTCTGGGATGCCGTTATTTTAATGATTTCCTCCCAGATTTTCTACTACTTACGATTAAACAAAAAAATTATACATGAAGATAAGACCTGAATTGATAAAAGTAAAATAGCGAAATACTGTGTGCAATTATATTGGCCATAACAACATTTATAAAATTCGGACAGTCCAATATCTACAAGAACCCGGTCACCGGTTAATTTCGGATTCCTTCTCAATGGTAAACAAAAATATGAATTCATCTGATGATCACTTACCGAATGTTGTCCCCTTCAAAATTGTGATCAGATAATTCAAGTTGATTTTCTGTTCGGATTTCACCCGCGGAGAAACTCGTCCAAAGATCTGTTGATGTTCCCCAGCGGACCGTGTCGATGTTAGTTTTATCATGGTGGCTTACCACAAGCAAGCGTTCCTATTGGTTGTGCATTAAACTTCTGTCAAACAGGTATGACTTTTACGTATCACGGATGGTGTGTCAATAATATCAATATCCTTGTTTGAAAATGACGTGTTTGTAAATCTTTTGCACACTGATTACCTCTCCTCAATCTCTCTCGTTCTCTTTGAGGAACAACTCCTCGAAGTCCAAACTTTTGCAAATGTGGCTTTTCGCTACATTCCGATTTTATAGGCTATCGTTTCCGTATCGTTAGTGTAGTTTAAACAGTTGTACATGTGTCCAGAGGGGTGAGACACTTCTAGGATGAAGATTTTTTTGTTTGCCTTTCTTCTGACGCTAATACCACAAATTTAAAAAAAGTGTGCTTATAACTTTGAAAAGTTAATAACCTTTCATCTCTTTCAGTTGACCATAATACTATGTAACTGTGTTATAGGAGCTATGAAACGATTTTGGCATCTTAAAAACTGTCGCCTATTTGTTTTTCGTTTTTCAGGGGTTGGTGCAGGTGTGGTTTCCTTGTGCGGGGGGTAATTTTGAACGTCGTTACGTGATAGTTTAGTTCACAGAAATATTGCAAACTGAATCCTAAGGTGATGCAGTCTGAGATAATTGCATTTTGCTTCTCTTAAATGGATCATTCTTTTATTGGAGTACACGAATCACTTGTTTCCTATTTTTTTCTTGACACAGTAAACAAAAAATGTGACCTAGGGAGTATGATCGCTGCCTTTGGGTTTTGGTTTTGGTATTTTTTTGTACTTGTTATGTATTTTACATTTATTTTTAAGTTCATCACTCCAGACCTTAAAACATGTAAAACTAGTTTAGTTACCCACATTGTAATATCCAGTCTCGAAACAACGAGAACATATAGCGTATGCTAGCCTCAATAGTAGAACTGAAATCAGTTGAGTAAGTTCTTATAGATTCACACTTTTTGTGCATGCCCTTATTGAATTCTTGCTGAGGGACTGGAACTTAAGTAAAACAGGTTCTGTCCTAAGTCAAAGGAAGATTTTTTTTAGAGGATATGCCGATCCTAGTCAAAGATGGAGTTTTCTTCGAATTGAAAAATAGAGATCACATTAAAAAATGCTGCATCCCAGTATCTGATACACCGGTCAAAGGACAAACATTCTAAAACTATTTGCGCAAGTGTTCAAAATGGGCCAATCTTTATTTCAAGTCATACTTTGTGTATTATAAGTTGCAATGTATGTAAAATTCCAGCTTTGCGAGGACGTTACCAGAGCAGCCGTACTACCAAGCTAAGGAAACTTCTTCTCTTATTTTAAGGTCGTGTTTTCATTTTATTCAAGACTACTTGGCCACAAGTAAACCAAAGTTAAGATAAATTGTCAAGATTCTCTCTTTGACCAAAATTTTATCTAGTAATTTATTTATTCCGTGACGACTCTTATAAAAAAAACCTCACCATTGTCACCCACCCTTCCCTTCCCTTCCCTTATAGTGTCTTGAAACTGACCTCCTATTGAAAACTTGCTACGAAGCGGAAGTCGTTAACTTGCCAACCTTAAAGTTTACTCCAACTAGCTGGCAATGAAAACGAAATTCCTTATCAAAATATTCGTGTAACTAAAAATAGATTAAGTTGGGTATCTCTCTCTAAAACTGTAATCAGACCCACCGTCTCCTAGTCCACTATTTTGACACTCACTAAACAACCATTGATATTTACATCATAATTGCGATACAAACACAGGTAAACAAGATCTAATTTGTAATGGGGATAAGTAAAACAATACCTTTTAACCGGGAAGAAAAGAACTTTGGTAAAACGTACGATGTCAAGTGGCAAAAACTTGCCATGAAAACGATCAAGTGTTTGTTTTTTAAATGCAGCATGTAACCTAATCTACTCTTTTGCAAGAGAAAAGTCACTTTACAGGAGACACTCCCCAACATTTTGTCATTTCGAAAAATTACGCAAAAGAACCAGAATCAGTGATGGCACCTACTGAGGCATTGACCATTGGCTATTGAAGGACAATGACGGATTGGTTATTTCTAAAAACAAAGCCAGGAACTTAGAGACTCCACTTAAAATCAATCAACTCACAGACGTGGTCACTAAGGACTATATTGTTTATCTCAGGTAATTCCATCGTCGTCCACAAACGCTTGCTAACGATTAAGTCCAAAACACAGCCCACAGTGAGATTTATTTTTTGTCCTTCTTCGCTGGCCTCAATTTCGTCATTATATCGCCAATCGTTTCACCTGCTTAACAGTAAAGAGAACACTGTTTCAAATGAAGTTACGTGCGTGTTTCATTTATAGCATAATTATTTCTCCGATCCTTTTACTCGAAACGAAATTTATTTACCTTTTTAAATGTTTTTCGTATATCAACAGCTTTTTGGATCAACCTTTTTTAATATTCTTTTTCTCTCAAAAATTACTGGATTTAGTTTTATCCTCTGCATTAATGATTATTTACCAGAATCCCATTTAATTTTTTAAAGTTGTTTTGTCAGGAAAAGAGTTTTAACACTGTTTTAAGAATCCTTCAAAGACATACAGAGCATATTAAATACTATGTGCAAAAGTTAAAATTACTTTTTTTTAAGTGTGAACAGTGGACTACAGGACAATGAGGAACTTTGTTAGAAGGTTCTCTATCTCTGAATTAATTTTGTTACTTGAGGCCCGGCTTGTGTTCCTTTTGTTACCTGCCATTAATTAAAAATAGGTGAAATTACTGGGCTGGTGGAGACTGTGCTTTTATTTTTACTGAGTTAAAGCTGATTGTGTTAGGCATGGAATAAAGTTGTTAAAATTAAACCCCTCTTCATCATTGAATATTGGAAGTTGACAAACAAGCGAGTGAACGGAGTTTTAGCCTGTTCTGTTAGATACATGGACTTATAGCTGTGCGTATATCGCATTATATAATAAAAGCGTAGCTTAAATGTGATTTTTTACTTTAACAATAAACATCTAAAACGTAAAGATAGCGCCTGAATATACATTAGAAAAGATTATTTCCCGGTCTACATGGATTCCCTTCTACACTCTTCGAAATGTTCGTCCTTAAATCATAATTAAGTATTCGTTTTCATTGTTTTGATGTTTGTCGTTGTTGTTGGAACTAGGTTATGAGGTTGGAGCCAAGTTACAAGTTCATAGCATGGTACAGTTCAGCCAATCAGATGGCTAGGAATTCAATAGCCATGCTCCAGTTTTTGCTTAACATAGATAATCACATTTGGTACCTTTGGGTAGTCCTGATTTCTTCACGTTTTTTCCTGAAGGGTGGAAAAACATCAAAATAATTTTATTGTTACTGATGAGACCAAGTTTCAAATTGCATTTTTCTTCCATTCTTATTTTTCATCCAAACAACTTCGTAACTGTTAAATGAACTTTCTTACCTTTGCTTTTTTGTTTAATATTTCTTCTAACTTTCTTTGTTCCCGGAATCCTTAATCTTCTATAGACTGGAAGTAGAGTAAGAGTGTTACTTATAAAATCATCTCTGGCACTGCAGAACTCTCTCTCATACTAAAAGTGATGCAAATTAAGGTTATTAAGCTGGAATAAGTGCGCTGGAAAAAGAACGAAGAAGGATAACTCAAACTTTAAGCTGAGAGTGCATTTACATTATATGCTAGGCTTTGCATGGTCAGGGTAATTGGAATTAAGCATTTTTGTGCAATTAATCCAAGAGATCTCGTTTTGCTGGCTTTAAAAGCTGTCATTCCACGAAAATAAGTTTGTTCTTCAGTTCTAACACCACTATCGCGTTTATTATACGTTGAAGACAACATTTTTGGCAAGATATCTGTGTAGCCCAATACTTCAATATGTATACAGTATTATTAATACGAGAATTCGAAAAATCGGAGAAACAACGTATTACATTGGAAACAAAGGCTTTGTTTATGAGTAGCATGCGTTAAACGGAAATCTTTCTTTTTTTTTCAAAAATAGGTTGTTTCAGATTTTACGACGGGGAGCTACACTTCAAGATGATAGTGTTCTGCAAATTTGCTGCATTATTTTAAAAGAGATATAACCATCGTTGAGTATTTCCTGCATTATTCATCCAGTACTGAACCTGACAAATTAAACTTTCCCTCAATGAAGACGCAATCGAAAGGGTTCACGTTACTTACACATTTCCTGCGTTTTCCGCGGTCTTTTTAAAAAAAGGGCAGAATTATTTTCCATAATTCGGTGCCTATCGACTGTTCGAGGACGAAGGTATTGTCCACTCATCCCGTGATACCTAAGACCCTCTAAATCTGCGAGCAGGAGAAAAAGAGGTTTTATTTTCAAGAAGGGAACTTAATCAACTGATCATCATAAATTATTCAGAATTTTTATCAACTCACCATTTTCATTTTGGAGGAGATTTTGTCTCGCTATTGTCCTCGTTTCTAAATCTGGAGACAGTTCGTGGTTTCCTTGTGTTGGAGAATGGGCAAATACAGGGAGTTTAATAGTATAGCAGAAACTATATTTTAACAAAGCTAATAAGTGAGTTCAAGGACACAAATTAAAAAGTCATCTCAAAAATATTATTTACGATACACTTTAACCCCTGTCATCTCCAACTAAAAACCTTGGTTAGGTTAAATTGCTTGCAAATCACTAACATTTACCTTTCCTTTATGGAGAAAAAGCTTTCTCGGTTATGTTTTAAATGAACGCTGAGTTTTATAAGGTTTCAAATCTTAATTTAATCAGACAAAGGTTACCAGTAGTTTTATAAACTAATAAGTGAACATCCTAACACTGTACCTAGTGGTTCTTGAAGTCCCCAGGTACTTGATCTAAAGGGTCCATTGATTTCATCGGAAAAATATCTTTTTCCCTCAGTACCAATTTCTTTGTTACAAAGAAATAGAAGTGTACATATTAAATTAGACAATTCCAAGGTCTGTCATGAAATTGAAATACAACAATGCCTTTCCTTACCTTCAGTATTAACAACCGTACTCTTTTTATGTGAACCTGAAACTGAATAAGGAAATGGGCACATAACTTAGCAAATCTTTCAACCTGCCGCTCCTAACTTCTATATCCAGCTTCAAAATATAAGTAGTTTTTTCACTGTTGTATCACATTGAGATAACAAGTTACTTTTCGTCGATACCTTGTTTATGAGTGTAATAGATCGGTAATTCAGCGCCGACCGGCAGTGAGAAGAAAACTGCAAATAATATGAATTAACTTTCCTTTAAAACAACATAAACAAAAATGAAAAAGGTTTAACATCATACGCTTAATTATCGATGGACATCTTTACAATGGCAAGACTATCCAACACATTCATATTATTCACTTACTTCTTTGGATCAAATTTTTCTTTTTATTGAGTCTCCTCCCTGCAACCAAACATAATCGTTAAGACGGAAGAAATAAAGAAGTGGTCAGATTTTGTTCTTTTTAGCGCGCTCAACTTTATACAAAGGTAATCTCGTAGGAGATCAATGACGAATGTTCACTGGGTAAAAACAATGGGAAACTAGTCGCCAGGGCCTGTTGGAACAAAGATATCGGGGTTATCTTCGTACATGAGCTTATGAAGGAATTTCTTTAATACGGATCCGCATCTAACCGCCTCAAGGAAGGAGTGTCGACTTAAGATCTAAGCGAAAAATTTACTCAGACCGATTAAGGGAAAAAAGTTGGCGTTGAAAAGTTATTAGTTACGGGGTGCAAAAGATTAGATCTTTTGAGCACCTTGTTTTCGCCACTAGGCTGAGTCAACAAAAGTTGCCAGTGAGGACTCCAACAAAAATTGGTTCTCGCTCCTACGAGAATTTTGTTCACGCATTATCATCGCACGAGTAGTTATTGCGGCTAAACAAGCATTTATTTGAAATAAAAAAGGGCCAACAGTATTTTTAAAAATTCACCTTTGGTCATGCCAGTCCGCGCTGGAACATACACGTGTTTAACTATATGTACTCTGGGATACGGATGTGGAACTGTAAAAGACACAAAAATGTACTGTTATGAAAGATAAAGTTAAATTACGCCGATCTTTCTCCTCAAGGTATTAAAGGAATTTTTTTATACCTCAAGACTTTCAAGTCTGTTACAACATCTACAGAAACAAAGAGTCGAAAAAAAACTAATGCAGTCACGATGGCCAATCAGAAAAAATCTTAAAATCATATGGGACCGATCAGATTAAAGGGCAACCGACATAAAGCACGGGAAAACGCATCTTAATTATTATAATGAAGCGTGAGCTTTCTGGACCGACTACGGGGCAAAGGAAAGCAAAATGAAAGCAATCCAAGATTTTTCAAGTTCTTACCCCTAATTTTAGATCATAAAACAAAAAATTTTCTGTGCTCACTTTCTCCTCGTTTCTTGTACGCTTGAACATCCGCTGGAGCAGGGGTGGGGACAACTGTGAAATATACAATTCGGCATAAATTAGACTTGGCATGCATGTTTCGATAAATTTCAAATTAATGCAAAGTCGCGATTTTTGAGGCACCTTGATGTAGCGACTATGAACAATTAAACATAAACAGCTCTACGTGCAGCAAAGAAAAACAGTTTATTCATAAAACCGTTGCTTGGAATGGTCTTTTTAAATTTCTTGGAAGGTGCTCGTTTGTAATTACTTTCAGCATTATAAAAAAAAAAATTAATGAATTAACCCAGCCCTCAATAAACTACTCGCTTGCTTGCATTGTGAAACTCTTATGATTCTTATGAAAATGTCTTTCCACCAAGCGTACACATGCAATTTTATGAAATAATACCTACAAATCTCAGTGGGGACAAAAATAAGAAACTTTCTGTCTGTGACTTAAGCTTCGCGAAAATCAGTGTGCGGATCAATAACAACGCACCAGCTTGGAAAAAGCGTGCTTTTCCATCATGATTTTCAAACTCTTTAATAAATAAAAGTGACTAGCATCTAATTTGCCCTTACGGTATCACCACTGAATCAATATTTCACAAAACTCACCAGATCTGTCCCTCCAATTCGGAGTGTCTTTCCAAGAGACCATTCCATGGGCACCCTTTACGAAAACTTGAACTTCAAATGCAATAACAAGAACTGTCTGTTAGCTTTCAACTCCAGTTTCAAATTTAATCAAGAAATTCTGCATGTTGTAAGTACCTGCATAGCAAAATCCACAGCTCCATATGAAAAAGAAGGCTGCTAAGTTGGACACTCTTTGCATTTTTGGGAAGAACAACGAAAACTGTTTCTAAATGAAGCAAAGTATTGCATTGGAATATATGCATTGAAAAAAACATGGAATACACACACGCTTGCATAAGGCGTAATAGTAATTTCCAAATGTTAAGAAATGCGGCTTCTGACTCTAGGACAGTGGCACGTGCAAAAGTTTAACCTGAAATCCTCGGTCGTACGTTCAGTTATATTGACCACGTAACTAAAAAAAAACCACGAGACATTACGAGAACTGCTTCGGAAACAACAGCATATTCCGAGCAGAAAATTACAATAAGGTAAGATAAGTATTGTAACCCATTGCATTTAACAAAGTTTATTAAGGATTGCCATACATTACACATACCTTAAGATTGCATTTGTTCATGTAAACGATACTATAGACTCATCCATTTTCTTAGCACATTGACGCTAACAAATTTTTTCTAACTCGAAAAAAGCTAGAACGTTTATTCCTTTAACCCTCATAATTCGAACTGTAAAATTTAGATGATGTCAATGTTTCAATGAGTCATTTATTCACGCTAAGCGTGCTAAGATTTCAATCCCACCACACATTGATAAGTCATGCATGAAATATGTCTGCCGGTGTGGAAGAAACGAAAACGTCGCAAAAAGGTGTTTAAATTAATTTCTCCCTGGGAGTATTCTACCAAACGTAATCTATTCTCTTGAAGCATGTCATTACTTTGACAGGATACAACTAGAAAAGATTAAGAAACTATATCTTTAAACTTCTAAAATTTCCATGGTCATGAACAGGTTCTAGTTTAATAAAACAAACAAACGAGAAAGTCTCCATATAAATGCCTTTGTAAGAACTGCAGACAAAAGACAAACCTTCCTTTGAATGTCTTGCTGTTTCGATTAAAGTTCTGCTCCGGGTGCTTTGGCTAAGCCATGTTAATTGCTTAGTAATTTCTTGTGGTGATTCTCGATTTATCGGGGAGAACGATGCCACGAGTGGTGAACTGTGATGTCATGTCTTCGTTTCACCAATCCCACCTGTCTCTAGGGTCAGGTAGTTTTGGTTTGAATTGTTCGGCGGTCAATGGAAGCACCTGGGGTGTGGGTTCAACTCAGTTGTTATGGTACCCAAAAAATATTAAAAAGGTCATCAAAAGTCAAAGCTTTAATTGAAAACTGAATTTTTCATAGAGTTAGTACATTCGATTATAATGATTGAACATGGCTAACTTATAAATACCTTTGCGCGTTTAAAACAAACCGTTTTGATAATTGGACACAATTGCGGGTCTCTTTTAGAACGATGTACTTATCGTCTCAGTTCCTTTTTTATTTCGGTCTAAACCTTGCTGTATTAAGAGTATTACATTCAGAATGTGAAATTATCACCAGAGATACCTATGCGTTATTTAGTGACTTTCACGATAATCCAAAGCCTCACTGGATACTCCCTGCACACGAGAACCAGTAGCGCTCTCTGAATTGACTTTATACGCAAAAATTGCAAGCATCGTTGTACATGTCACTACTTAATAATGGCTATGTGTTAAAGAATGTCGGTGTAAAAACAAAACAGGTTTTTTCGGGAAATCTTAAAACAGAACCCTTAGCCTTTTAGCTTTCTTTTCAACGACAAGCTACAAGGTGACTCTATGCTAATATCAAACATGAGCTAACAGGTCTTTATAAATGATCTCCGCCATGCGTTCATACCCTGCAGACTTCATGTGCAATCCCACCTCCCACATTTGTTTTCGTTCCTCGCTACTTAACGAGTATCGTGGAAATTTCTCTGCCAGGTCACAGAGGATGGTAAATTCGTTGGATCTTGCATAATATCTTAATTTTTCATTGATGTATTTCCTTTCCAGATGCGTGTGCAGACAAGGCGGTCTCTTGGATTCCTCGCAGTCCATCTCAGGTATTGTCACCGCCACACTTTTCGCGCCATAGCGATGAGATGTAATGTGAAGGTTAATGATGTGTTCCGCCGCTTTGTCCCAGGCCCTTCTGTTCCGATTGTGACTGTTGTGAGCGATGTCTTTTGTGCCGGCTAGTATTATGATCCAGGAATATTTGGATTTAGCTGTAAGAGACAAAGGTTGAAAATCCTTGGATTAGAATATATACTTTTTTTGTTTTTGATACAAGCAAGGTTAAGCGAAAGGTAGCTAATCAAGAACCACCTCTAAGGCTGCATTATAAAATGATGAGGTGGGGTTAGAACACAGAATGTTCGTAATATGAGGTAAAAAATGCCTTTTCTAGTGTTGCAGTTTCCAAAGGTGAAACATTGATCTCAGTGTCAGTTTCTTCCACGAAGAAAAAAGGCATTTTATCACTTTGACCATGATGTGATTAAAGTTAATGGAAGTTACCAAAATTTATGGCGTACCATTTCACTCTCACTGTAACGATCTAAAATATCTTGATCAGGCGATTACAAAACTATCCATGAAAATCAAAACATTATTTACATTAACTTAATGAAACGGCCAAGTAGTTTTAAGTGGTATATATTTTGCGTAGTATTACGACTGGTGATAAAGTGAGTGTGAACACAATGATGACAATTTTTGAATAATTCTATACCGCTTTTTAGGTGATCTTGAAGCCGTTTAGACATTTCAGCTGCTTCAGTACCGTCTTTAGCTACTGTAGTCACGGTATAACATCTGTGTTGGTCTTTGTTCAGCAGAAACTCCAGAGTGTTGCCGTATGGCGTGTGACTTAAATCATCAGCATGGAAACCGTTTGTGAGACTGTCGCCAAACGCCAGAATAGGCAATACTAGTACTCCTGCAATTAACATAGCAAATTTTTACTTAAGTAAAATCTACTGGAATAGTCTCCACTCTCCCCACCCTCCCTTGCCTCCCCCCCTTGAAAAGTTGCCTATTTCTGATATCATTATGCAATGCACAACCTGAATTAGTACTGGTCATTACGCAGTAAATTCCGAGGCCTAACCGATACACTGGAAAAACAGTTTTTGATTGGAAAAGCAAAACCTAAGTAACACAAACGGCTAATATGAACTGGAATGGTATAAGAAGGATTCACCAAGAATCTCAGTGTACTGAACGTGACCAATTCGCCAATTACTTCTACACTTGATCCATAGTTGATCTATTAGAATTATTGTTGTCACAGAAGGACAAAGAAAAAAAACCCCACATTATTACCTGTCCTTATTTCGCAGATGAATCCAGTCTTCGGCTCCCTGCACGAAACCATGTTAATAGAACCTTCAGATAAAACTGCGCAATTTTTGTTCTCCAGCTCATCTTTCACTTCAACGTCACGTGTGTAGGGTACATCGTCAACCCATGTCCAGATTCCTCCCTTCTTTCGCAGTCCAATATAGAAAATTTTCGTGCGATGTTTCAACGAAGATATTATATTTTGTAAATATTGTACTTCTTTGTCTGTTTTCGGCATCGCAAGAAGACCATTTTCTTTATTGCACTTTTGCGGGAACTCTTCCCATCTTCCATTTGATTGTGATGCAAACAAATAGCAGAATTCGTCGAATGCAAGCCATCCATGAGGACACTTCTTTCTGTAATCTGTGTAAAAAAAATGGAAAAGTGTCCTCACTTAATTCCAAATTTTATAATCAAAAGGAATAAACAGCGCTTAATAAATACTAAGTGCAGAGCAAGTTCCTAAATGCTCAATGATATCCCCTCCGCTACCCCGCGAGGCAATATCTACCCGTTTGGTCGAGACATTGAGTAATGTTGATACATTTTATGATCGATACGAGCATTGGAATTGTAAATAAGAATGTTGAGCGTCAGAAAAAGGAGACAAATCTTTTAAGTACAATTTATGCATGTATGATTGCAGATTTCTTTACTTCCTCTTCTGTAGCTGATTTCATTATGGAAAAATGCAAGTGCAACGAAATTTATATTTCGCTGCGGAGTTGTCCTCGAATGTTTCTGGTGCTGTCATGCATTTGCTCTCAAAAGAAACACGTTTGTTTACACAAAAGAGACCAAATTAAAGCGAATTTGATATTAAGTTACCTGTTTTCCCCATTTTTTCGCATTTTGTTATTGTTGCCTCGTCTTCAGCTCCAAAAATGCCTGAACAAAGAAAAGCATGCTAAGTGGCTGATCAAGTTCTGAATGAAATGATAATTTGAAAAATAGATGTTTACATATGCATTTAAACCTTCCCTGCATGTATATTAGCTTGAAGAAATTACCTGTTTGTTTCTTTGTCTTTCTCGATGGGGAAACTTTGGTTACCCTGTGTGGATAAGTTTGGTTCTGATGGTGTTCATTTGCTGACACATAATAATCACCACTGCCTGTTGACTCTCCTCCGCTGCCATGAGGCCTGTCATGAGCCAGACCGAATTTTGGAAGTGGAGTAGTTGTCCTTCTAAAGCTGATCAAAGTGGTTGGTTTTGGAAAGTCCCTCTTCTTTGTGGGTGCGAAATGGTGCAAAGGATTCACTTTTTTGTCTTCTATGCTCCCATTTCCAATTACGGAAAAGTCGTAGCGATCTGTTTTGGTTCCATTATGCATGTCATCGCTTTCACCTTCAATGTGAGACATAAGTTTTTCTCCATCAGGTTGGGGTACGACATGAGACGTCATGTTCTTTATTCTCTGGTCAGTTTGGGTGGCGAGTGCCAAAGCTGTATTTACCTTCACATTTGGATCATTATTGTTCTCGCCTGAATTAGAATCATCTCCTGAGGGTAACAATGCAGACTCAGTTGTCTCACTCTCTCCTTCAAACTTTCCAAGCATCTCCTCTTCTCTTAAAGGCACGGTTGCTCCATTCGTTTTCCGGGGAGTCGTCAGTCCTACAATCGAACCATTGCTGTGGAAATATTCATCTTGTGCTGAACCAGCTGTTATAAGATGGATCGCTGTAGGATTTTCCATAAACGCACTTTGAAAATAGCTTTTATCATCCGGATTCCCTAATAAAAACAGGTCACCAGGGCGATTTCTTGCAGCAGTCTCCATTTCTGTACTGGATGTACCCCCATCATTTTGTTCTTTCATCGTATTCTTTGCACGTTTTATAGCGTTTTGTGCTGTTGTAGACCTTTCGTCCCATAATTGACCGTCAAGCTTTCGTTTGGAAGATTTCAAACCATTACTCAACGCTCTCACTTCAACATCCTTTGCATGATTACGTAGAGCCTCTAAATCATTCAAATCATCAGATATTCCTCCTAATTGTGGTTTAATAAGTGAGTTCAAATATCTAAAGCGAGAAGGTGTCATGGACTTCCAGCTTGGGTTTACGTTGCTTTCTTGCCTAAGGGCATGATATCGAGAGGCTGCATGTGCAGGTATTCTACCAATATTGTTCTTCTTTACAGCCTGAGATTCTCCTGACTTCTCGAGGAGTGACGCAATGTTCACAATCGCAGAGCCCTCGACCGAATTTGCGTCGTATACTTTTGCGTTAATCAGCAACGTTCTGAGGTCACTATCTTCAAACTTATTTCTATGGGTAGTTAGGTCTGGGTCTTCTAATAATAAAGCTGACTGTTCATTGACGTCCCCTGAGGAGCTTTCTTTGGTAACTATTCTCTTCATTTTATCAGGATTGACATAATACTTATCCAGTATCTGCATACGGGATCTAATCATTCTTGTCTTCCCAGTTCTTCCCTTATTGCCTATCTCAGTCTGAAGTGTTACATGGGCACCAGTCAACCACTTGTTCTGCAATTGCCTATGCGTAAGGACCGCCTTTGATTCCTCGCGTGTTAAGTTGGATTCATGCTTTACTTTAGGCCGAAAGTCGTAAAGATTATTCTTGAGAGGAAATGTTACCACGCCTGAATGAGTAAATCGGTAAGATTTCAGTAAAATTTCGGGATAAATGGTAAGCAGAACGAAGTAAATAGCATAGCTATACTATCAATTAGCACAATTCATTCTTGTAAAAGCAATTATCTTAAAATAGCCGATTCTCTCTGTTAAGCTGAGTGCACGGTATTTCAATTTATGTCAAGAGATATCAATCAAGCGCTTGGCTGTATCTTTCACATCACAGTAATTAACTCGTGTGTAACAGCATTAACGAACCTCAGTACTTCAATTTTGTTATATCCATATGAAGTCTTACTGAGCCTGTTAATCTACCAGACTTGCGGGACAAGAAATCGAGCCAAACTGAGACACATAAAGTGGCCTTATGCCAAAGGTGATCATTGTCCAATTGTCGTTACCGCTCGAGGTATCTGCCACCTGAAATCATTTGTAATGCTACATTTACTTTCTGTGTTTCTAAAATGGTTTTTCAGACAACGAAAGCACGCCGTATGAAGTGCCTTGTTAAATTCGTGCAAAGATATTTTTCCCCTGGATTCGATCCTCCTGGGATCTCCTAACATGGGAATGGTATAAGCATAGCTTTAGAGAAGCTGCCTCAACCTTTTCTCCTGCAAAAAATCCAATACGATATGGTTGTGAACATTTCTGGTGGCAGTTTTAAATGCCACGATGTCTCAATAAAAACTGAAAAATCAAAACGTTTACCAACCTGATAAAACACACAGGAAGATAAAAGCCACAATAACTCCTGTTACCAACCACACATCGTGGGCCATGTTTCTGATATTAGTGTTACTGACCTTAAAACAAGTCAACAACTCCACAGTTGCAACGACTTACTAAAATTGTCTTTCACAGATTATAACCCAGAATGAGACATATCCACATAGACATGTCTCAAAGAAGCTTCTTTTTGCTCAAATTTGTTTCCCCTGTAAGTGACCAAATATCGAGTCAGACCTCTTAAAGATTCGTAATTGATTTGCTGGTACCTCTTTTCGGTGAGGAACAGCCCAAAGCATTCTTCATGTCTTACTAAAGAGAAAAATATTTTGTTTCTGGTTCTTCGCACTAGGAATATACATGCAGGATGGCACCTTAGGTAAATATGTCAAAGGAAACAGTTATTTTCTTTTTTAAGGACTGAAGTCCAAACCGTATGGCTCTTAGAATGAAAAACCTGTTTATGGTGGAAATTGACGGGTAACACATTCATAAGTTGTCATACGCCTGATTGGGCGTGTCGATACGATGGGGTTCAAATTTTGAAGCTGATTTCCTTTAATTATGGCTGACGGAGTTCCTAACGTCTGAACGCAAGAGACGAACTGGATGTACTTTGATGGTCAGGTCCACTATGTCTTGCGTTCCAGAACTGATCCTTGAACGTTGTTTAGTGTTACCGTTTCTAAAGATCTAGTGGTGGCGTTTCAACGCAGGAGTGGAAAGGACCGCTAAGGATACAATGACATATCGAGCTCCTTATAAACAGACTGCCAGGACAGGGTAGAGCCTTTATTTTAAAGAGGCAGAAAGATTACGTCATTTCAAGACTCCGCTGATAGCTTTGGAGTGTCTAGTAGCAAAAGACAAGCACGAGAATGTCTAAATTTGTTAACATACCGTACTGAGAAACTGTTTAACAGGTATAAGAAACAAAGATGCTGAGTCTAGAAAAAATAAGTTCAATGGTTTCTGAAAAACAGTTCATGTCTTAAAAGTGCTATAAGCTCTACTGTAACAAGGATATAATGAGAACATATTTGAATCATTTTCGCCAGGAAGTTGTTCGTAATCTTGTGAACAGCTTACGCGAGTCGTGGTTGACAGAAACTAATGAAAAGTGTTATTGAATTGTTTTCATGGCTTAACTTTAGTTATCTTTGCAGCCAGGGATCGATAGATTATATTGAGTCGGTTATTACTCCGATTATGGATTCAAACAAGCAAACACGTGTAAGAATGTTTGTGCTCCCTATAAAAGTGGTGAGCATTTAAGGATAGGCTCGATTACTAGCCGGAGCCCGCGCTCCTCACCGAAGAGACTTCTCGGGGAGGAACGAGAAAGACCAGACCCGAGAAAGCGGCAGAAATCAAGCCTAGTTTAAGGAAGGATTTGCTTCTGTTCTTGATACTGTATCTGTTGAAAACCTCTGAGTGCAACTTCAAATTCAAACTCGTCCTAACTCGAGACATACCGAAACGCAATGGTTGGTACATAATATATTTATTAAATGTACGTATCAAAATAATCCTTATTTACATTTTTAATACCTAAATTTCCCCAATTTTCCTTGTATTCACACAGCCCTTTTTAATTCTGGCTTTTTAAATCTTGACCACCTTGTTATCAGTTTATGTAGCAATCAAAACGTCTGAATGTATGTAGCCTTAATTTTTTAGAACCACACTATTGAGAAGTTAATGATTCCCAAAGTTATGACATCTGGCTTTTAACTCTGGGAGGAAAAACGCAAGAAATAAAAGAAGATATTTACAGTTCTCACAGAATCTGTTAGTGAAATTCCAAACTGACCACGCTAGAAAAAAATGTACCGCAATTAACTTTCAGCCCTACTGATAACATTTTAAAACCTAAACTTTCTTCTCCTTCATTTCTGCATTTATGTAGACACGAAAAGACCGAGCAGACTATTATTCTTACAAAGTATGTTTAAGTGGTTTGTCCCTAAAAAGTACCTATGTTAACCTTTGTCAAGTCTCTGTAAATGTTACTATTATACGTGACTAACAAAACCAACACATATATTTTTAAAGGTGTCACTGATGTTTCCATGGAAACAGGTACTATTTGGGACAGTACTGCTTAATCGCTGATTAGTAGCCAAGCAAAGGTTGCTGAGCGGTTACTTCCGAATCAGCAAAGAATACATGCTATTTCGTTATGAATCTTTTTCTTTATTCACACTTCTCTTTTTATTTGCGTCTTTTGGAGTCTTCTTATGGTTCTTTGACTTGTATAAACTTCGCCTCCATCTTTTCGCGTGTGGCTTCTTTCTCAATGTGTTTATAGTATGCTCTGCTTTGAGATACTTCAAAATTTCTCGCTGAATAGTAAATAATTTGTCCATCTTGTTCAGCATTTTGGCCATAACAAATGCGTTAGGTGAATTCTCTGGTTGCACGGGCACATCAGTCCTTTTTCCCACGGTGAACTGTTGTCCGGCATCTAGTTTCTTGTTTGATGACAGCGTATTGAAAAACTTTAGCTTCTGCAACCTACCTTCCGTAGAGCCTTCCTTTGTTAGCTTGTCTTTTTCCGAAATTTTAGAAAGATGATGATCTTTGTTATCGTCTGAATTCCACCCGGACCTCTCTTCCCGATTTGTCTTTAAGCCACTAATTCGATTTCTCAGGAAATGACTCGTGTCGATTCGATTTCTTGAACCTTTGAGCCAAATATTTATCTCATTCCTCCTTCGTCGCTTGATGTCATTTTCAAGATCTTGTAGGTCACGCTTTCTGATGTCTTCCCCATCACTGAGTCCGTCATCCGTTTTGAGATTGTTAATACGTTTCTTGGCACGCTGCATGGCAGAATACTTTGCAGCCTCGATGATGGTCAAAATTTTCTCCATTTTCTTTATTTTATCCACTTCAAGTTTTGCGATGTTTTCTTTTCTGATGTCCTCTCGAATCTTCTCTTCATCATCTTGGATTTTCTTCTTCACTTGAGCACCATCTGTCGTTTTATCCTTTTGAAGCAGTTGTTTCTCCTGTGTAATCTCAGCTTTCTCGTTCTTCATGTCGTCTTCGTATTGTGTAGTCTCCATTTTAGCCTGTGTTTCAATGTCATCGACGATGTGCCGCACGGAACTTGGTGACAGCCCTATTGCCTCCTCAATCTTGGACATAGCTAGACTGGCTCTTTCAGTGTCATGAAGCTTTCTGTAAGCTTCTGCGATCAAAGGATTGACTAAAAATAAAAAATTACATATTTAGTTAACATTTTTATAGGTGCTATGTAGAGAGTTGAAACCCACCATACCTCAACAAATATGCTGGACAGTTTTCATATCTCGTGTGCTAGGCCCTCAAAGAAGGGAAAGATGTTTTGCCTCACTAAAAAATGTTTCATCTTTCTCTTTCGAAATCAATATTCGATGAGAAAGGTATAAAGTAGGCGACATAATTTTTGCGAATGTCAAAAAGGAGACTTGTCATTTACTGTTAACAGTTGGTGATTTTCGTAGCCTTTCTCATTGGGCTTGTAGCCTGTAAGATAGCTTTAAGTTAGGGGATTCAGAGAATTTCTAAAGTCAAATTTTGCTCTGATAATCACAGTATAGAAACGTATTAGTAAGCTCGACATCTTAACGTTGACTTATAAGTGGATAAAGGCAATAGAAATAAATGGTATTTACCTGGAGCTTGATAAGGTGAAGCTGGAGGATAATACATCGGGGAATTCCAAGAGTATTGCGGGTTACTGGACAGGACAGGTTGGGTGCTCCAAGAATAAAGCGAACCGGAGGGATTAGCCTCCGAGAGTACCTGCTCGCCGGAATGAGCCGTTGAATGAGCCGCTGGTTGAAAACTTACTGGACTTGGTGGTGTCATGACCTGAGGTTGGTCCTGTTGAGGTTAAATTAAACATTTAAAATGTTTTCACCTTTTTGGCTTTGATGCGAGGAAAAATTTGAAGTTTTTCTCTTTAAGGTAGATGTGTACCCTACTAGTTTAGCAGGCTAGTTGTGGCTATGTAGCTAATTGCCTATAGCCACTTTACAATCTTTGTAACCACTAAAAAGCTTTTCCTATGAAAAAGTTAGACAACAGTTTACCGCCAATGAATCTTAGAACATGTGTCCTCAGCAAAGGAAAACCACTAAAAGTTTTGTGAACTTACTTTGGTGTAATTGTTTGGGTCAAACAATACATCCTTTATCAGCCATCCCTAATCTGTCAAGATGGCTGCATATCAGTTGGTTTTTTTCAGTTTTTATATACCTCGAAGCCTTTTTAAAAGTGCTGACAAGTTTACCAAACACTACCATCTTGACCTTTAACGTAGACAATGACACATACTTGACTTACATTGAAAGCAGTATTTGGTGTTACTTCCGGCTTCACAAGTTCAGGAGCCTTAGGTTGTGGTTTCTTCGGCTGGGCGTGCGGAACAAAATTTTGTTGTGGCGCTTGAACGCTTGGAAGTGGCTGATGATATGGCTGCGTTGCAAACGAGCTGAGAACACTGGATGGGGAATTAAAGTATCTTGACATTGAAGCTAAGTTTGGAGACAGGGCATTAGGGCTGTAGGACACTGCCAGAGGTGCTGACTGTGTCAAGAAACCGTTTTGTTGTCCAATACCTGTTTCCATTGTCTGAAATGGCATTGTGATGGGCTGGGCAGGTGCAGCTGGTAGGAAAGGCTTAACAGGTTGTGCTGGAACGGCTTGAACGGATGCAATGGCTAGTTGAGTTGGCTTGGGTGGTTGAGGTGGTGCAACTGGCTGATGAGATGCAACCAGTTTGGCAGGCTGTTGCCTGGGCGGGGGCTTAGGCGCTGAAACATCTTTCTGCGGTTCTATCACATCATTACCATGACCGCTAGATGGTGTCTTGGGAGAACTTCCACTCGTCTGTGTTTCAGGCTTCTTCATCGATGATGGGCTTTCCATGTCAATGAAATCAATATCTGCTGGGTTGATTTTAGTGTCACTTGCGTCGGTCGAGAAGCTCACTACCTGACCACCCTTTGGCTGCACCGACTGTCCGCTAAGTTGGTTATTACTTTGGGGTGAGAATGCTGATACACTTGTCTCTTTGACTGTAAAAAAGAAAGGAATATCCGTCACACGAAATTATTCTTTCATAAGAAAATTTAGACACGTCTAATGCTACATCCTTAGGATATGAACCAAACCCTGTTTGACCTTGGGCAAAAGCACGATTTTAAACGCGTGCCATCGCTTTAACGAGGATGATCGTGTGCAGGCTAAAAGAAGTCAATTAATTTATTTTCAATTTTTAGTGTGGCAATCTGATCTAACTCCCTTCGATAAAACATCCGCCTTTAAAAGAAAAAGTCCTCCATTAACTGCTTACTTGAGTTTATTCGTTGTAATTCCGTGTTATCTTGATAGTGAGGCGTAGACAAAGGCGCCACATTACTAGGAGCAGGTAAACTAGGAGGCAGTAGCTCGCTTGTTGTAGCCGGAGCCATACTTGGAGGAGCTACTGCTTGAAACGTCTGTGGTTGATAACTGGCAGTATATGACGGCATAACAGTTTGATAAGCTGGCTGTGTAACTCCTCCAAAATAACCAGCAGCTTCTGGTGGGTACGAAAGCGGTGGTCCAAGATACATTTGGGGGGTAGACGCAATTTTGTCTTTTTGAGCTCTGACGAGATCTTCGTGGGCTCTTTCTTTCGCCAAGTACTTTGCTGCTTCTAACTTAACTATCAATTTCAAAATACTTTCTGCCTGATTAACGTCTTCGTCGGCGACTTTTTCGAGCTTCACGAATTTTTGCTTCCTTTGTTTGTCCTCAGTCTGATCGGCGAGTTTCTTGAAGCTTTTCTCTTCATCCTTGAGTTGATTCTCTAAATTCTTGGTTTTATCTTCGATCGTCATAGGACTTAATCCAAGCTCGTTTTCTATGTTGCTAAGTGCTTTAGCTGCTTTTATAGCTCGCTGTAACTTTTCTCGAGCAACTACCACGGGATCATCTAGGGATATTTCGATAGTAGCTGTTTTGCGTCAGTAACATATCATTAATAAACGCGTTGATGTTAAAAAACTTTTGAATGGAATTCTTTATTAAAAATAATATCTAGATGATACCTTGAAGAGGGAGCTGCCGCTTTTCGCGTGCGTCGGCTTTGGAGTAAACACTAGGGACTTTTTTCGGCGCATGCTCGTTGTCTGTAAGAGAGACAATGAGCAAGAGGTACGTTAAGTGACTAATTTGGCATTTTCAACCGGCGTGAAGTTGAAGTCTGTCAGTAAGAATAGCCATAAACTGCTCCTTCATCAGGCTGAATTACGTCTGCTACTTTGCAAGTACACAAACGCAAGTACAAAGTTACAATCATAAAAATATTAATTAACTTTATCAGTAAAAATAAACGTTAACAATGAGAAGAGAGTAAGTCAGAAGGGGGAAAATAGGTTATAGCAATTAATGTTAAATAATTATTACAGCAGGAGAATTTAAGCCCGTCAGAGAAAGATAATTCTAGATTAGTCATGAAATATTAATAGACAGGGAAAACAGCCATAAGTAAAATGAGACAAGAAAAAGTGAGAGCAGTAAATCTGAAGTATGTTGCCATAAAAATTTCAATTTATCTTTTCAAATTGGAAAAAACTATCCTTATTCTTGAATAATATAACCAGAACACCAGCTTTGAATACTTAACAATCCTAGGTACTGAGGTTTTGAGAAGGATGCCTTAACATCCTTACAAATAATTACGACAGGAAACTTTTTCGTTCGAAGAATCAGGAACTCCCTCTCCAAAGCCATCTTGAAGAACTTACACTGACTTAGAAAAACGAGCGTGATTCGTCTTTAAGTCAGGAATTCTCCTCCGTACTAAAACCTTAGACTATCTTTTTTTACTGACTCAAATAAGACGATGACTTCTCTGACCTTGATGTTTTTCACTTTCTTTCTCTCCTTGTGTTTCGTGAGAGTAGTTGTCTTCTTTAACATCACCATCATCGTCAGCATCCAGATTGTCAGAAGGGAATTCTTCTACAGTAGGGATCCCATATTCCTCTAGCATGGGATAATCAAAGATATTTTCCCCCAGTAATGGACTGTACTGCTCCAAATTTCCCACATCTTCATAAAACTCTGTAAGATTTTGAGTGATACGTAGTTAGCATTCAAACCCAACGATCATCCTTGGTAGTTTTCTTCAAATTGCACCAGCTGCTTAGAAACAAATGTGATATAACCTAATTAGCCAGTTTCTCTCCTCGTTTATTTTGTTTCATTGAACTAATAGAGGTTGGTCATAAATGGATGGAAAGGATTTCACAACTTCTAAAACGATGACTGTATGAAGCTTTCTTAGTTCTCTTGGAAAGTTATCCGGTTTTTTTAATTGCACAGCTGATGTTTGTATTGGTTAAATATAGAGAAACGTCATACTTGCACAATTATGACCACATTTTTAACTTCTATCGCATGGATCAAGGGCGGAGGTGGGGTGGGTCCTCTCTTTGTCTAGAAAAGTTATGAAAGTAAAGAAAACAATACCAAAATACCCAAGTGGTTGCCAGAATACCCAGAGTGAAAGGGATCTTTCATTTTACCTTAATTACCTACCTTGAGCAGTGGAATGTTTCAGCAGGAGGAAGACTGAGACCAAGAGAAGGACCAGCTTCAATGAAACAGAAGCCATAAGAATTCCGCTGAAAAAAAAAAAAATTCCAAGACTTTTATATAAAAAAGGTGCCTGCTAGTTTCGAACATAACTTTTGTAGAGAATCTAAGTATGTTGTATGCAAGCGTTCAAATCATTTAGTACCAAGAATTTGAGGGAAAGGCCAAGGCTGAAAGACTGAGTCCTCTATTTAGGCTGCCTTATTCCAAGCAGGTGTTAGTCCATCTCGGATCCTTTCTGTTCTAGAATACCCTACAAAGGTCTTGAAATGACGATATCGACTTACGCAAGGTCACTTCGTCGTTCTCCGCCATGGAACTTATAATCCACACGAGATGAGATCCTTTGAGTCTTAAGAAACTTGACTACCATCTGGATAAGGTATATGGAGGATCCAGTCTCTCAATCTTATCTCCATTTGATAACTGACTTTACTTTAAACTATAAAAACCTTAGCAAAAAAAAAACTCCTGTCGTCTTAAGGTAGCAAGGCTTAGCTTTTCTGGGTTAGAGAATATGAATCCACTCAAATCAATCTCCCCACCGTAACGTTGCCGACAGAGCTGAATAAGGAAATTCTACATCAGAGGATATGCGGTCAACAACGCGGGCTCAAGTGTCCCAAGTGTAAAAATTTAGCGAAATTAACGGAAAATAATGGCTGACTTTTAAAACCGAGGAACTCTGTTTTCGTTGAAGGCATTTTCCTATTTCTAGAGGTTTTAAGGAGAAAATTAATTTTTGAAAATTTTAGGGGGTGTACCAAGTTTTTGGAGGTTGTTCCGTAAAAGAATAGCGACAAGGAAGACGACGCCTCGAAGCAACAGAATAGGAAATCAACCATGCGAACGACTCAAAATCCGTGTTTCCGCGGCAAAACCTAGCGCATGCGTATAAGTTATTCAGCTCTGTCAACGTTGCCATAATGTAACGGTTTATTCAGGTTTACGACGACCGCCGCACACTTGACCAAGCGAGTAGTTTTTTCATGGAGCTGACCTTTACTTTTTTTCTGCTTGGTGAATCGAATTATTTGAGTGATGCACATGATTGACTAAGCTGAAAACTTTGTTTTATCACGTTTCGAGATGGTGAACAGATTAGAGGGAAACACAAGACTTAGAAATGTTTATAAGGCATATTTCTCCTCTTGAAACCTGCTATATTGCTTATAAAAATCTTGCTCACGATTTATGAATTTTTACAGCTTCGAAACGTTGCTTAATGTGGCAGAGGTATGCATGAATGACTTCCACTCACACAGATCTCGCAGTGAGCCGGTGCAAAATCATCGAGTCAAGATAGGCGCTTTCAGAACTTGACAACAAACAGATTCTTTAACCATACGAATTTTGTGTGTAATGCAATTACCTGTTATAAGGTAATGAAGGACCTGAACACGAAAACAGAAAAACTACAAGAGACATCTCACAACTGACGTACAGCTGGGTCATGTCAGCTGTAAACTTTTTCTCACATCTTAAACCTAGAGTGTTCGTAAATGGTCATAAATACACAACTTGAATTAGCGTGTCTTACCATTCAGAGCTTTCTATTGGACATCTATCCTAGCATCATACATTTAATATAAAAGTAAATGTCCAATGCTGCCCTCGGTCAACTTATCTAAATGCAACCTGTCAACAATTTCGGTAAAGTAATCCGTCCTATTTCATTTATTTACTGCCTCAGCGGGCGTACTGGGAAACTTCTTTCAAATCACTCATTGAGAATAATTCTTTTTTTTTTTTTTCATGATTTGCTCTAAAGATGGCCTTTCTTTCAAATATAGAACAAAAGATTTTAACAGTTTTGTACCATCTTTTTCACTATAATCTGTAATTTTTCTAATGAGTTTCCGAGCATCTCAAACCTGTTGAAACAGAGTTAAGAATTTATTTTAAAAAAAGTCTTGAGATCATATTTATTTAATTTGCCGGCAACCGAAGGGCTCTCGAAATTACCCACTTCATCTTTGATAGACTGATATAACGCTCCCTACCCGAAGGAGTTCTTGCTATCAAATATTTCTAATTTTCAGCCAATATATTAAATAAGTCATACCCTAACTGAGTTGCAGAACTAGAGTCAGAACTGATTTCCTTTACAATAACATCTCATTTTAGAAACCTCATTATTGTTAAAGCATTAAAAATGTTAGAGGACCAATCCTCTAAACTATTCCTTCATCATTTATATCAGTTAAGTTTGACTTCTAAGACGACTACGAAATCCCACAAATATGTTATCATCCAAACTTGGAACGAAATTCAATAGGGCGGTCAGGTATTTTTTTACTTTGTTGCCGTAGGAGTGGCCTCACTGAAATCTTCACTAAACATGCTAACGAATAAATCGCCGCAAACATTAAAATGAAGTAAAACGCACCACACTACATATACTGGGTACGCAATCTAAGGTTTGACCAAGCGCGCAATAATATTTGACACGGGGTTGAAGGGGAACCTTCACGTGTGCAGGTGACAAAGATAAGTCTCGCTTAAACATTACAAATCATTTAGTCCCTCGCAATTCACGTTGAAAAACAGCTCTTGAAGCAAGCTTAAGCTTCTTCATTTTGAGCAATGTCAATGGGAAATCACGACGTTTGGATAAGCAGCCATGATTTCGGGAACACCTTGAAGCCAAGAGTCAGTGAAGTGAAATAATCACTTACCCGTAAGAGTTCAAGCGATTGTCATCTTACGACACCAACCTGTGTAAAATTCTGCTTTTGGATTTCAAACCCAGAGAACCAAAATAGCTTTTGGCGACGGCGAAAAAAACACGATTCTAAAGGGCTAAAACATATCTCGATTTCGCATGCGAAAATTCGGCCTAAGGATTCGCCATTTCTTTTCCACCTTTGTTATAAAAGTATGAACTAAGATTGATTTATGGGTTGAGATCATCATTGAAAATGGACCAATCAGGTGCTGCCATTGACAAATCGTTGTTTCGTTTGTTGATTCCCGGGAATTATGACCAGTCGAGCCATGGAGTACCAAATACCTGTTGTTTGTATTGGAAATTATGAACAAAATTGAACATATTTTAAAAAAGTTTTCACGCACATTTACACCATTTCTGGAGAAAGACTAAAACACTTTTATCCGTTACAGTACCAGCGCAAGACCTTGTGGTATTTATTTTGAGCCTAATTCTGATCACAAGGCATCAATAGGTCGATTACATGTTATCTGCCTGCAATTTTCTGGATACAAGTCAACACACTCAAAATATCTCGATGACTAGGCGCATTTTATTGTCTAAAACAATTCCCGCGTAGAAACTGTAGGAAATAAACCTGGTGCTTAATCAGCTGGAGCATGTGCTCACGAGATACCATAGAAGACATGCATAATGCAATGGTGAGATAGTAGTTCAAGGTGCGCATTATTTATTGTTATGTTTGGTGTTTGTGTTTGTTTTTGTTCAGTTTTAAGATGTTTCTCGACAACACTAATCGGCACTTGACACAATTGTTTAAAATAAGACAATTAAGAGATCTTTCCTTTTCCCAAACGAAGGAAACCGAACTTATTCGACTCACTTTAGGTGGATCAACGATAAGCTCTGAAACGAACGTCCAGAGGAATAACCCGAGCCTTTAAGCCACAACATCCAGCGGTATAACCCATTTCTGAATACCTTACTTAATTCGGCGTGAAGTTGTAATGCTTTTGAAATAATCAACAAGGGCCATTTCAAAATGTCACCACCCCCACAAATTTTGATGTGCAGTATAAATTCACACCTTTCAACAAGTGGTTCGCCTGGAAAAGCAATGGCAAGTGCGCTGTGCTCCGATAGACTATGGTCAGTAGACTAGAGTAGAATAGAGTATGAAGTAATATTGGCCAATATGCGTAGCTTTCAAAGTACTTTTCAACAACGAAAAGTTGGGTTTAACTTTTTAGAAAGCTTGACTTGAGATATCGACTTGCGATGTGCACATCTTACCCTCTTTTGTTTGGGTTTTCTGTTTCTAACGTAGTACACTCCCCAAAACTAGGACTAATCGAGACAAGATATCACCTCACATACTTTGAGATACCAATTTTTTTGCCAATGTGATCATGAAAATTGAAGCAATTTAATCGTATCAGACGAAACAGATGGATAGGAATACAATTTAACGGCAACATCTCCTGTAAAATTGTCTCTCAGGTTCTTTATATAAATACTAATAGAGGAAACGAAAACAAATCGAGAAAATCTAATGTGGGTATAACCAAAATAACACGAAATTAAAAGATGAGAAAGAGCTGATCGAAAACTTACCTCCTCGTCAGTTAAACACGAATTTGATTCTCTAGAAGCTCTATCATTATGGGGGCCATCATGTACAAACGCGCTAGATTTCTTTGAAATTAAAGTTTGTACAGCTGCCTTCTTTTAATCTATTGAGGGCATTTAGCGATCCACCAAGCTTCCCGTAGCTTTAGATCTCGTCAGTTACTATAATTCCCCGCATTTCGGTCTCGCATAAACCTTATTTTTTTTCCAGCTGAGGTGTTTTGGAGTGAGGGTCTTCCGTGATGATAAATTATTGTTTCCTGATGGTAATTTTGACAGGTAATTTGTCATAGTAATTAGGTCGATATATGTTTAGCTCTAAGTTCGGTAGTCCGGACGGTTGGTGCCGTTGTCTGTCATGTAAGGATACGCCCTGCCACCTTTCTGTGTCCTGATGAGAGAGATGCTAATATAACAAACATATTGCCATCACAAGCTTTCCCACTTTAATTGAAAAATGATTTCTAACGTTTCTTAGATGTTCAATTCAAGATATTCGATACTACGCACCAAGGGCGTGGCAAGACTTCTTTGACTTTATTCGATAACTTTACACTGCCATGACTGATCACGAGTCAAGCTGCTCTGGCAGCATGCTCTTGACGCTAAGACAAAGACATCGGCCTCGTTTGGCGCGTTTCGACATGGTTGGATTAAATTTTGCTGGTACTTGTAGAATATTGACGCTTCCATTCATCTGTGGGTTGAACAAATAACTTAGCTCTGGTGCTTACCTTCAGGTGACACACATTTGCTGATTGAATGTGCCACTCCACTTTATTCTATGGTTCGCTATACAACCTCATGACAGGAACCCATTACGTAATGGGATCCTGGTCATGAGCAATAACAGTTGTAGCATTTAAAGAAATTTCTAGGACCAGGAAACTTAGGAACAGCAATATTTTGCTTCCTTTCTTATACTTAGAGGATAGATATATCAAATTTGAACATTCGGAGTTACCAGCACTTTCATAAATTTCACCCATCCAGCATCGTAGTTTCCAGAGATAAGAAACTCTCCGGACACGTTACTCATTCATATGTAAATTTTTCGTCACCTTCAATCATTCGACATTTTTCACGTTTGATATTATTTTCATGTTGAGAAAATCCTCTTTCATAGATCATGGTCAGCGATAACTTATCGGTTTCCGTGAAAAGAGGGGAATTCCTTTTGCCTCTGTCGCACAGAGTTATAAATATCGCCACCATTCACCTCCAATTCGGTGTATGAGTTGGGACAAGCAAGGGGCATCATGGGAGAGTTAATAGTACGGAATAGCAAGTTTTTATTAGTATGAGCAAAGGAGAAAAAATACCCGAACATGTTAATTTACAATCTGAAACACCTGCATACTATTCACGTTGGAATTGATTAATATGTAAGGCAGAAAGCGAACTAAGGTAAGATGTGTTAAGACCGAAAAGACAAAAAGTTCGAAGTTACCTCCGCGGTATGCATCAGTGCTGTGTCTTACGTTGTTTTCGGTCGAGCTTAAAATAACAAATCTTAATTGTCGAGGCCCGGTGGAAGGTTGTATCTGTAAATGTATTCTGTAGACCAATACTTATTGTGTAGGCTCCATTGTGGAATGTATGAAAGTGACTCGTTCAAACTATTAAATTTTATTATTTGAGTCAAACTTAATTTGTTTCACGAAAAATTGTATGAAAACGGCTACTAAAAAATATTTTGTCAGTCAAAATACTTTACACCGGAGTCTCTTTTTGGAACAGTTTCAAAGTGTCATTGATTTGTTGTTTATTTGGCTCCCTCTTCATCTTATTTGGAGAGGAGAGTTCTCGCTGTTGAGTAACTGCGGTTTGCTTTTTTCGCTTTAGCTTCTTCCCTTATTTTCTTGCGCTCTTGGAAGCGGAACTAATCTTGTTGAGATTACTTTCTCTATTACCTTCCTTATGCTGTTTCGTTTGTAGGGTATAACAGGCTTGATAGAGTCCTCGTTGATTGTGTTTAGAGGTATCCTGGGACCCCTCGGTTGTGTAGTTAACTGGGATGTGGGTTTCCCTCCAGGAATCAAACCAGAGATAGCCTTTATAGCATTCTCTCCTGCCTTTTTGAAAAACTCCAAAATGTCTCTTGATTTTCGTAGTTGTGCAGATGCTAAGAGAGCAAAGAGAATCATATCAAGGAAGATATAATTTTTTTTTTAAAGATTTATCACCTCAGAGCAACAGTAAACAATAGCAGGTATCCATCATTTTCATTGGCTAACAAGCATTTGACTTTCCCAAATCAAATAAGAAACAACAGCCCGTAAAAAAATTTCCATCTAGCGACAAATCCAGAGAGGATATATTAGACGCTCACTAAAATTTTCCTACTACACTAAACCAGGAGAGCAGAACTTTTTCTTTATATCATATGTGAAACTCAAAATGCATCAGTGTGCTTTAAAACAGCAGCATCCAGACTACATAATGCCAATAGATTAAGGCATCACAATATTGGTGTCTTCATGTCACAAGGGGCAGGTACGCCGGGTACCAAACAAACTGGCTGTCAAAACAACGGCGATTCTAATGTCAAACTGTTGTTAATCTCAAAAACAGATTTAATTGCCTCTGTAGTTACCTTTACACTTGAAAAAAGCTACAAATAAACAAAAAAATTTAACTTATACCTTGAATATGAAGTTCTAAAGAAAGAATCATAAGGATGAGGAGTATAACCATTGCTGGAGGACAAACGGGTACAAAGACTAACAGGTCCACCACGTGTAGTACACTGCGGTAAGAAGCAGACAGCTTTGGCTCATTGCAGACGGTGAAGGAGCGTTTCTTTCAATCTCCAAAAGTCTCAATGTTATCTTAACTCAAATATAAACCATCTAGTCGAGTAGATAAACATGTCAGGAAATAAGCCACTCATTCACATATTCACATGTAATGTGACGTCGACAGGTATAAATATTTGACAACCAGCAAAAAGATCAAACTGGACTCTTGTTTGAAAAGGCCAATCAAACGTATCATATGGACGGCACTAAATGGTGCATACTGTATTTAATCTAAATTAAGCCGTTAATGCCTGATGCCAGATGAATATAGTTCAGCCTCCCTATGTAAAGAACGGTAATGGAGAACAGAAAGCAAGTACCCAAGTGGTGTACCGGCGGCAGTGAGAATGTTTATACAAACATTGCGCGAGGATAAAACTATCTTTATTGCCATTTTGCTGAAAAATAATCAGGACGCTTTCTACCATTAGCTGTCGTGGTCGAAAAGTTATAACATAACTGACAGTCAAAGATTCAGTTCAGCTTCATGGAGTATTCTTGGGCCAAACATTTCAAGATCACGTGATACCACCAAGGGGCGGAGTTTGGCGGGAAAAAGCTCCCAAAATGCAGAGAACGAGGGATATCTTCTTTCATTTTAAACCGTATAGATATTTGTCGATCATTTAATAATTTTTAACACTTTTTTAATACAGGAAATATATATCTTAGATGTATAATTAAATTTTCGCTGAGAAAGGTTTAAACGAAAATCTTGATGGGAAAAAGTACAATTCCCATAAAATGTTGTTCCGGACAAACAAGATTTTATTTGTGAAGTAAACAATATAACATAAATTTATCATTGCTTGTACTGACTACTGATTGTTAGCATTTTTTACATTATCAAATTATTTGCCGTGTAGTTGTTAAATTACCGGTAATACAAATTCGTATGAGTAATTTTAAATTATCGAGTTAATCACGATAGGCTCATGATCAGTTCAAGCAAAATTTATAATAAATAATTAAGTTAGATACTCAGTGTTCTGAATGGCCCGTTTTGATTCAGTTTTTGTTACGCAAAAGAAAGGGCGCAAAAAGCCAGTTTCTTTAAAACAGATCTTGTATTGCTTCAAATTCATATTTGCTTGACAACAATGTCATGTAGAACTAACAAAAACACCTTCGGAACTTGAAAGCAAAATAGCAAATACAAGAATGTAAGTAGTATCTGGATAACTTAGAGCTGATAACACCTGCTGATCACAATTTAAGGTTATAAAAGGTCTGATCTAGCCGACCTAACAGAGTACTGGTCAAAAAGACTCAAACGCAAGAGAAAAAAAGCTGGTCATCGTTCACTGTTAAAAGGCGAGAGAGAAATTACCTCTAAAGTTTCTTCAAACGGAAAGCCTAGGTGACACGAGTGATTGGACATTCCGTTTTATATGATTGTGATTGATTAAGAGGCTAAGCTGACGAACGGAAAGCTTGATCATTTGCAAACTGCGAGCACGCTGGCTATATACCTAAAATAACTGGTTTAAAAACTGTTCTACTGCTCCTTCCGTGTGTTCAGATGTCATCTTCTCGATATCACGTGCTTTGATTCCAAACTTTGCCCCTATAGCTTTTGCCATGGTGGCTGCTTTTTTAAGGGAGTTATTCACGTCATCAAACACCTGTCGAAGCCTGTTCTGAGTTTCACAATGCGCTAAGAGCGCTTGAGCCACTTTGAATTTCAGGTTGTTAGTTTTTCTGATCTTTTCTTTCAAAATGTCGATCTTGGAAGTCCCAGAGTCTGTTTGTTTTACTGGAGAAGTTCTATCATTCTTACTCTCCGGCTTCTTTTCAGCTTGCGTTGCTTTGGCGTCGTGATGGTCATTGGCCGTGACAGCTTTCGAGACTTTTGTGAGTTTTTTTTCATATTCTTCTAATGAATTGTTTTTATCGTTCAAAAGTTTGCTTGGTTTCGAACCCTTTGGAACCATTGCTTTCAATTTCTCTTCCAGTGTTTCTTTATGTTTCTCAGGTTCGGTTTTTGATTTTTCTAATTGATGTGTACTTTGATCTTTACTCGCAAGTTCCTTATGTTTTTCAGGGGATTTCATGGTAGACTGTTTACCAGAATCCTTCATTTTATTAGAGGTGACCTCAGCAGCGTGCATGGGTAAATCCTTGCCATGTTTAGGTTTATCCTTCGTTATCTTGGAAAGGACAGTTTGCTTGAGACTTACGGGTTTAAAACCAACCTTCTTCTTGTCTTCTTGTTTAGGCATAACTTGAACTTGAGGAGACTTTGGTTTTCCTTTGGTTGGTGCTTCGTTTAGAGCGGCAGCATCTTTTTCATCGGGTGTGATGATGGACGCAGGGCCACCGTCCTTAACAACGACGCTGTTTTTACCTTCTCCACTTGCCTTCACAGTTACTTCATTTTTTACCTGCTTTGGAGAGTCTTTTGCCTTGTCATGATGGGATTTCAAAAGCTTCTTTTTACTTTGTTCCACTACAGCTTTATGGCTGTGTTTATTTATATAGCTAGCTGCCCTTTCTTTCACTGTGGCCAACTTCTGAGTGTGCTTTACAAGTTTTGGACTTGAAGAGCCCTGCACAATTATTGGTTTTAGCAAATTCTCCTTCTCTTCATCCTTAGCCACCTTCTTTGTTGCCTCATGTTTCGCTAATTTATTTGCCGTCTTCTCTTTACCGATTTTCTTTGCCTTTGCATCTTTACTTAATATCTGGGATGGTTTATCGTTGACTATTTTATGCTGAGGAAGAACTTTCTCGGTGTGTTGTTGTTTGGCCTGTTTGTGCAACGGTACCGGTTTTGCTAAGGGTACATGACCTGGCAAACTTTTGGATTTCTTTGGCGATGAGTCTTTCACCTTTTTAGTAACCTTCTTATCCTCATTCCTCTTTGGTTTCGCAAAATGGCTTTTCCTGATGCTTTGCATGAGCTTCCAATATTTATCAAAACCTTTTAAATGGAAGTATTTACGCAAAACATTTGGGTCCATCTTCGCTAGTATCGCAAGAACGCGTTCATGTTTTTTCGTTAGCTTTCCACGAACCATCTTTTTCGGATCGGTTTGCTTATGATCTCCCTCGGGCTGTGCAATTTCAGATTTCTTGCTGCCCGTTTGAATCGTGGACTGCTCGCTTCCTGCAAAATACTCTACCAGTTGCCTGTATGCTTTCTCGGGGACACCGTTTGCACCGCTGTGGGCATTAAAATGTGCATCTCCTCCGATCAAAGCATTGACGAGGTTTTCTTTACTTAATTCATCAACGCTTACTTTCTGTTTTGCTTTTGTATTTCGCGACCTTAATACTCTTTTAGCTTTCGTGATGGTCAAAACTTTTCTGCCTTTCTCTTTGTCCTCGGCTTTTTTCTTTTGTGACGTCTTCTTTGCATGGTGTTTGTCCGTTTGGATGTCCAAATCGAGCCTCTTTAACAATTGAGAGGAATCCTCCTCCTTCTCGTCCTTTATCTTAACTACCCCAGAACTTTTCGATTTATTACGATGTCTCTTATCCTTAGCAATGTCTCTACGGACGATTGGTTGGCTGACTTCTGCTAACAAGTCGGCATCCGTTTGTGCGCCTTCGTCAACGTCGTCGACAGATCGTTTGGATCGTAAGTGCATTTCCTCATCTTCTTTTAACATACCTCCGCTTTCCTGCACCAGCCATTGATTGATCTCGTTAGCAAGTAATTTAGATTCCCTTTCAGCCATCTCTATTACTTCTTCGAGCCTCTGAATTGCATTGTAACTCCCTGAAATATCAAAAAGGCAGTTGCTACCTTTCGTATCGCTTTTCATGATACATTGAAAGGATTGAGGGGTTAGGCTGACAGCACAAGCGAGCAAGTTTCAAATATATTTACTTGCTTATCTGTGAACCCTTAACCCTTTGAAAGTTAGAAATTGTGCTGGCTCATAGGAAACCCTCCAGTGTGTCCACATTAAACCTCACAGATAGATCATCCAATGCAAAACATACCTATGGGGGGAGGGGAATCGCGCCATGCACGCCGGTGACAAGAACGTATAACGTCTTCCTTTCGATGCGCCTACAACTTGGGATCTTATTGAAGAAGGTATACAAATTCATTTATAGTAAAAGTGCTTTGCTTTTCCTTCAGTGTTTGCTTACCATTCGTCAATTGAAGACAGGTTCCCAAAAAGAAAGCAAAGGCTACTTGTAAACATTTGTTGTAGCTTAGCTTCATTATCTTGCATGCTGCAATAAAAAAAAAAAAAAAGAGAGAGATAGGTTAGTAAGAGTCCACTGATAGTGTATACCTAATCATGGGTCATAAAAATGAGCAATAAATGTAACTTCGAAATGTATAGGTAGCCTTATATAGGTATAGGTAGTCAAATAAATCGCGTAAAATATCTGTTTGATAGGCGTAGGTTGATCACTATAATTGATTCTCTAGTATTCAGTAAATTATTGTATTGTCCATCAGTATGGGCTAATACCAACAACAAAAACATTGAGCTATTACAAACAGTGCAAAACTTTGCAGCCTGGATAGTTTTTGGTACGAGGAAATTTGATCATGTTACACCCTTTCTCAAGCGGTTACAGTGGCTGCCAATTATTAAACAACTTGCGGGTGGGGTTTGCTACCATGGTATATAAATGCTTATATGGACTGGCACCTCCATATCTTTGTCAGAAGTTTAAAACCAGATCGAAGTGTACAACTGTAATACTAGGAATAGGGACCGCCTACATATACCACTCTGTAGCTATAGGACGGCTGCAGGTCAGCGCGCATTTACTTTCAGAGGCCAAAAGCAATGGAATAGTCTCCCAGATGAGTTTCAGTCTATCACTAACTTTGATGTATTCAAAGTAAACATAAAACAGCATTTTTTATGGGTATTTTTGGAAAACTAAGTTTTAGACATTTGGCATTGTAAATTAAGCTTAAAAGCCTTTTTGAGGAGATTAATAAAGTTATTATTATTATTATTATTATTATTATTATTATTATTATCGAGACAATCTTTAGAATATTGTTTTTTGACCCCAGAACGGGATCCGGCCTGTGCACTCAACCACCTGTACGGGCATCACTGCAAAAATGTTTCTTTTGCACTTATTCCGAAATTCTCTGGTTTAATGTTTTGGTGGTGGAGGATAAAACACCACAGGGCATGTTCCAAAACTTGTTACACAAGATTTGTTATTTTAAGATCTTTTCCGAGATCTCCTAGATCTAAAAACAACCCAGTTGTGACAATTGTGACTTCCTTTGAAATGTGACCTAAATGCAGGGGGGGGGAAGCTCTGTACGCAGTAGTTCTCTGGTTCCTTTCACGCGCTATATATGACCCCTACGGTATTAAATCACCTATCCATGTCCTGGTTAAATTCTGCCGTGTAACAAGTGTCCACGTTTGAAACAAAAAATTGTTTGTGATGGGTTTTTGTTTTCTCTCTCTGACCCACTATAATATTTTTTCTTCGAAGGAATAAACTCCTCGCTCCACTGTCAGAGTTGTACACGATAATTTATTGACACAACTGGTCCAAACTATTTATATGGGGAAAAGTGCAGTTCATTCTGGGAGCAATATTTTTTGGAGTGGGCGAAAGCTTGACGCACAAAGGCTTAGACTAGCTCCAATCGATAACCAGCTACTTGCAAAATTGACTAAATGAAGCCGTATGCTTTGTGAAGATGTTCGACTAATCAAAAATAAGTTTTTTGAAAGTCTGATGTGAAGTGAATATTTGGTGAGGATGCACTGTCGAAATGGCGTTCGAATACATGGCATACGAGCGGACCATACTTGTCACAAGGGTTGCAAAAATCGAATTTTTATGACACCGTGTAAAATAGAAGTGAAGAGCACACACACATCTGACGAAAATGGAACCCTCCTATGCCTATTTGTTCGACTAAGTACCATAACAAAGGGTGTACAACAGGAGGCGGACAGCGGGAAAACTTAACAAAGAATACGCTGGGCTACCAAGCAAGATGCCATCGCATTTCAGGCCAACGCAAGCCCCTGTAAGTTAAAAACTTTGTGATTTAAATTTCAACCTAAGAGGTTTCCTAAGTAACTAAAATCTAGGAAAAAATGAACTGCATCAACTTACCTCTGAAACCAGTTCTTGTATCTGCAGCTAACCTTTTGTAAGATCACTTGTGGAATATACTATTGTTTTTCACATACCGGCAGAACTCGCAGCCCCGGAACGACCCGACCATTTACTGAACAAAGGGCTCTCGACTCTCGGAGAAATGTTTAGGGTTATTGTCGAAATTTTACACCAAATTTCGGGTGGATATTCGTCTTGTTCTGCAACGTGCAGTTAGGGTACCTGTTGGGAGAGTATTTAAAAATTCATAATGTTGTGACATGTTTAGTGACCCACTCCCCACGTCTGTGTTCATTTACCGATTGTGGATGTGATGTTTGATGCTCCAGCGTTAAGTTTTGCATGAAGTTTTGTTTGGAAAACAGATCAAATTACTTATTATCTCTCCAAGGGTAAAACTTGACTCGAAGGAAAAACTTTCTGACGTCTCTCCGTTCAAAAACAAGTTGTTGAAAACGTTAGTATTGCTTCGTTTAATTTCGCTCTAATTCGCAAATTAATTTCACATTTCAAAAAAACAAAACAAAACGAAGGTGGAGTGTTAGGTACATAAGGAATGCACTTTTATCCAGAATTTTCACTGAGATCCTTTTCATTTTGCAAATGTTCAAGCTCATTACCAGAAGTACTTTGGAGTCATATTCAACAACGCAGCAAAAACCTCATCAATCTCTACTCATTTGTTTGATTTGCTTCTGATTAGTTGTAGCCGAATGAACAGGTGCTCCTTTGTCCATAAGTGTTCTGCTTGTGTCAGCAGTGGTTATATGAAGTATCGCTTACAGGAAAAAAATGGGAACAGTTTCCGAAATGCTGGCCAAATCTTTCTTAGTTTTCTTGACTGTTGACTTTTATTAATCCAAAGATAAATGAAGCATCAGTCCATTACGTAAGTAATTGCCATTTTTATTGATAAGTGAGAGGGAGGGAACACGGAAGTCGTGATTGGATATTGTTAATTTTTTTCCGCTCGTGGAAAGTGGCTGAAAATTATCCGTGACGTTATCAGATAGCAGACTGCCAAAACAATTTTGGAAAAAGAAATAGAAAATTTATGGGTGTTTTAATGCCTTCTGTTTTAACATAGCGCAGACTTAAGTCGGTCATCCTTTATACAGAGTTTTAGTTCAGAGTTAAATCCTCTGTCGTTGTCAACTTGATGCGAAGCCGACACTTAGTTTTAGCTTAAACTGACGCAGCTCTCACTTAGTATGGAAAACCACTAAAAAAATCAGTGCAAACAGAAACATTTTCAACATTAGAGTAGGTTTAAAACGTTCACTTTAGAAGTTATTTTTAAAACGTTCATTTTAAAAAGTTTTGGCTGTCATGATTTCCTCTTGGTAACTTTCCCATGTATGCCTGGTGTAAGCTTCCGCTAACTTCCAAATTTCTTTAAATCATTTCTTGAAATGAACATAATCGAGACCCATGTGTTCACCGGCGTGGACCAAAGCAACCTCTGCCTTGCGTATTATATCCTTGACATCTTTGCTGGCACCTTTTCCTTTCTTTCTCATTAGTGAAACCTTATCAGCGAGTGCTACATATTGCTTGGCAATTTTCAGTTTCTTTCGTGCCTTGTTTAATTTCCACTTTATTTCTGCCACTTTTGTTTTAAATTTTGGAACTTTCTCCAAAAGAACAGCGGCTGTTGTGCCTATTTCTTTCCCAGTCTCTGCGCCAGAAGATTCAGCCTGTTGAAGCTCTGTTAGAAGTGAACGATTACTATCACGGGGTTCGGGCTTGTTTCCTGAAGAGACGAAGAGAAAACAGATAACTTCTGTAAACAAGTTTCCATTATATTTTAAATACTCTTTTCTCTCTCCGGCAGCCCCGTTTCCATCGATAAAATGAACTTTCTGACATCAATTCATTATCTTGTTTTCGTAGTGTTGCTCTCTTGTCTGCGCATGGTCGGGGAAGAGATGCAAGCCGCAATCGATGACAACAAGGCTTACAATAAGTTCCTGAGACCTGTTTCTCGAAAGTCTCGGTAACTTTGTGGACTTAAAGCCCTATAAATATATATATATATACCTGACGAGAGAGGACTTTTAACCCTTTCGAAACAGATCTGTAGTGCGAAGTTTTAGTGCGAAGTTTTAATTTTTATTTTCCTAAATACTTGTTTACAAAGCTCCATGATTGTAGAGCACTCTCCGATTCAAGGATAAGGTTTCTTACGTTTATATATATATATATATATATGACAAGTTAAAAGGCCTCGAGCCATCTGACTCATGCCAGATCTAAGAGGAAATCATTCCCATTTGTGACCACATTTAATCCAAATTTACCTGATGTAAGTCGCATCATTAAAAAACATCTGGGAGTTTTGGAATCCAATCCCAAGTTAAAAGAGCTTTTTCCTTCAAATTCCATCATAGCATCCTTTCGCAGATCTAAAAACCTTAAAGAATTGTTGGCGCCATCTCGTTATGGCCCTAACATTGAAAGCGAAGGGGTTGCTGAGGACAAGGGAT